GTCATTTGGAAACAGTTGCTGTATCCCACACAGTTAGACAAAAAAAAAAAAAAGTCTAAAAACGACCCCCTAAAAAAAATAAAACCAGGAAAACACAAACCACATAAACAAACAGGAACAATCATTTAAAAAATAATAAAAAGTAAGAGCAATAAATGAGAAGAATAAACTTTAACAATATGTAAACAAAGACAAAAGAAAGATAAAGAGTAAGAAAGAATAAAAACACAGTATCTTGGGAGGGAGGAATGAGAGAAAATTGCAAGAATAAAAGAATAGTAAAAAAAAGGGGAGAGATTGCAAAAAAAGGGAGGGGAAATGGGAAGATCTGAAATAAAAAGAAGGGAACCAGGAAAAGTGTAGAGAAAGAAAACAAACAAAAAGAAAGAACCAAGGAAGGGAAAGAGAAAAAAAAAAGGAAGAAAGGAGGAAGACAATAACAATAATTTAAAAATTGGGTGTGTAGGGCAGGGCACCCAGGCTCTGTTGGGGCACATAGACATGGATGGAATTCTTACTGGTCCAGAAGGGGGGTGGAGGTGGGAGATGGCCACACACCCATTCACACAGAGGGTGTGAGCATAAGAGTAACAAGGAGAATATCACACAGTTCTAGTCATCAGCTTCCGGTACAGTTGCCTGTGCTGTCCTCAGTAAGCTAAGCCTATACTTATGTTGCTCCCTGGATCAGAACACTGCTTACTGATATTCAAAATGGCTACTTGTTGTGGTTACCTAGTGCTGCTCTGACAAGAATATACCACAAATGGGATGGCTTGGACAAACAGGAGTTTATTGTCTTATAGTTCGGGAAGCTAGAAGTCCAAGTTCAAAGTGCCAGGCTCTAGGGACTGGGTGAAAGCCCCTCGACTTGGGCTTCAGCTCTGCCTCTTGCTCCTGGCCCACTGAAGCTAGAAGGATCTCTTCACTCAGGCAGCTACTGGCTGCTTAGGCTAACCAGCCCAAGGTTGACAAATAAAAAGGCACAGTCCCGATGTTACCAAACCATGCAGCAGGCCATTAATTCAAATCCATAGTAAGTTCCAAGGTCAGCAGAACATGGCAGGCTGCTGCACAATGACACAGCTACATGCAGGGATCAAGCGTGTCATAGGCTAGAGACCATTCCCAAAGCTGTTTCTTATATATAGGAAGCAGATCATATACCCAAAGGCAGCTACTCAGCTGCTCCCAGTAGATTCCATCATAGTTGATTACCAGCCTCATCATAGGGAATACTACATCCAGCTGCCCAACCACTCAACCAGGCCCAACCAAGTTGACACACAAATGTAACCACCACAATTCCACCTCTTGTCAACTTGGCACCTGTACAGATCTTCAATGGGTGGTATCTGTGCAGATCTCTTCACTGGGTGACTCCACTCCCCTAGTTCCTGAGTAGTGACCTCAACCCCTTGGCCTGGTAGGCTCCATTCCTCTCCCTCTTGGGCATGGCGACCCTGCCCCCTCACTCTTTGGCAGCAGCTATGGTTTCATCTCACTGGCTCACATGAACAAGCAGCCCCACATTCCAGAACCAAGTTGAAGGTCTGGCTCTGAAACCTAGGGGGCTGTAGTGGTTTCACCCCCAAAGGCCGTGGTCCTACCCTTTCAGGGTTAAGCAGCTCTGCTTCCATTTCCTTGGTCTCTCTGCTTCTGCCAATTAATGCCAAAGGCAACCCATTCCACTGGAAATCTTCCTGCCCCAAAGCCATTCAGTTTTCTTGCTCCGTGGACTGGCCAACCTGCTATTACATTTCCTGCCAGTCTTTTCTACCAGTTAATGCCTGAAGGCAACCCACTCCACCAGTAAGCCACCTAACCAAAGGCATCAAGCTTTCTCCCCTGTGGGCTGTTAAAGTTGTCGCTGTCTCATGCTGGTTCTCTCAGCTCTGCTAGTGCCATCTCTCATGCCGATCTCTGGGCTCTGCTCCTGTCATCTCTCATGCTAGTCTCTTGCTCTGCTCCTGCCATCTGTCATGCCATATGCTGGGGTCTCTCTGCTGGGGTCCTTGGTCAAGGATGCACTTCACTCCTGTTTCCACATTTTAAGTATCTGTCAGAGTAGCACCCCACTCTCTTGGTACCATCTTCTGTTCTGGTTACCTAGTGCTGCTCTGACAAGAATATACCACAAATGGGATGGCTTGAACAAACAGGAGTTTATTCTCTTATAGTTTGGGAGGCTAGAAATCCAAGTTCAAAGTGCAAGGCTCTAGGGGCTGGGTGAAAGCCCCTTGACTTGGGCTTCAGCTGTGCCTCTTGCTTCTGGCCCACTGAAGCAAGAGACATCTCTTCATGTAGGCAGCTACTGGCTGCTGAGGCTAACAAGCCCAAGATTGACAAATAAAAAGGCACAGTCTTGATGTTACCTAACCATGCAGTAGGCCATTAATTCAAGTTCATTGTAAGTCCCAAGGTCAGCAGAACATGGCAGGCTGCTGAACAATGACATGGCTACATGCAGGCTCCAAGCATGCCATATGCTGGAGACCATTCCCAAAGCTGTTTTTTATATATGGGAAACAGACCATATACCCAAAGGCAGCTACTCAGCTGCTCCCAGTAGATTCCACCATGGAGTTGATTACCAGTCTTACCATGGAGAATACTATATCCAGCTGCCCAACCACTCAACCAGGCACAGCCAAGTTGACATACAAACATAACCACCACCCTATTGCTCTTACAAATATTAAAAATGGCTGTACCTTCAGCACAGTCTGCAGTCCACAGATCTGCTTGTCTTCTTCTTTGCTGTTTTCCTTTCTAGTTTTCAGCCACCAGTGGAGTTGCCCATGCAGTCCTTGGCAAGCAGAGCTGATTCTTAGGTTGCTGCCCAGATTAGAACACCACTTGCAAATTTTCAAATTGGCCGTGCCATCAGGACAGCCAATAGTCTGAAGTTACGTTTGTCTCTTTATTCACTCTTTTCATCCAGGTTCTTTTATTAGCTTGTATTTAATCCAGTTCTTTATCCTTCTCTTCAAAGCTCTGGGTGCTAGGATTATCTTCTATATTTCTTTCAATTGATTTCTCATTTCTTTGTTGCAGAGGGTCTGTGAAACTTGTCTGCCTATTCTGGCATCTCACCAAAAGTCCCAAGTGATGATGTTTTCAATAATCTCATACACATCTGATAACTGGATGATAAATAAAGAAGAACACAGAAAAAAGGATGTATTTGAATTGTGGTGTTGGCAAAGAATATTGAATGTATCATGGACTGCTAGAAGAATGAATAAAGTTGTCTTGGAGGAAGTACAGCTGGAATGCTCTTTAGAAGCAAGAATGGCCAGACTTCATCTCTTTACTTTGTTCATGTTTTCAGAAGAGATCAAACCCTGGAGAATAATTTCATGCTCGGTAAAGCGTAGGGTCAGTGAAAATGAGGAATACCCTCAACAAAAAGGATTGACACAGTACCTGCAAAGATGGGTTCTATCATGATAATGATTATGATGACACAGGGCATGGCAGTGTTGCATTCTGTTGCATACAGGGTTTCTATGAGTTGGAACAGACTTGATGACACCTAATAAAACAACAACAATATTTCATTTAATTTCTTGATTGCTGCTTCTATGGAAACATAGATGCTACAATGGTTTAATTTAAATAAATATTAATTGTTTTGTTTTCCATTATCATGTAGGTTAAGTTACTTGCTAGCCCACTTAGAGTCTGTCTATAGGTTACTCATTTTTTGCTTTTGTGATTTCATTGATGTGCAAGTATTCATGCTTTGTTTTGTTTTTCTCTCATGTGCATAGTAATGTCAAGATGTTAGTAAAATAAGATAGTAGACTAAGTCAATTTTTCATAATTATACAATTCTCTTGAAATACTTAAGGATGACAAAGTTTTTCAGTATCTTGGTAAATATAGAAACGCAAACTGGATAAGGAATTAATATATTGGTCAAATGTCAGAATGCTATAAAACACCTCATTTTTGTTTATTTTCTCAAAAATAAAATATATAAATAGGAACATTAAGTGTGCTTATGTGTGGGCTTCATGTTTCAAAATTCCATGGATGAAATGGAGTAATTCATCCATCCACAGATGTTAGGGCTAGATAAAATTATTTTAACTTTTACATTAGTAATATAGTATAATAAATGAACATTTTTTAAACATAGTCAAGCATTTACATTCTAGTGTTTAGAATTTGTATTCAATAGTTAAGTCCTAAAGGAAAGGATAATTGACCTACATAATACATGGGTCAATTTGTTTAATGCAAACTAACTTATTTTATGCATTTAATGAAATAATAAAATCATTATTTGAACCTCAAATTTTTATGGAAACAAGGTATCAGGAATATTTTGTACTTTTATGTTTCTGGTGTTGTAAATGAGCCACTATAGCAGGGCTTTCTTTGATTTGAGCCAAAATTGTGGAAAAATGCTTATATACTATTTTAGTGTGTATTGTGTATATGATACATATGAAAATGTAGAAATAGAGATATGTATCATCTGTTATAAGAGCATATATTATTAAATAATTAATTTTGCCCAGGGATTGAGATAGATGCTATTTTAAGAAAGGTACAGAGAGCAGATAACATTCTAGCTGCACCATTAAAGATAAGCTTTATCATGTGAACCAGTACTTGAGGGAAATAAAATGGGCATCTGAAAGTTGATGGCATGGTTAAAGAAGAACACAGACTTTTGGGATTCATGAAAAGGATACTTTAGAAGAAAGAAACACCATTGTGAGTCAATTAGTTTGTTGTTGTTATGTGCCGTCGAGTCAGCCACGACTCATGATGTCCTCTCCTTGGGTTTCTGAGGCAGTATCACTATGGAAGTAGATTGCCCAATCTTCCTTTCGAGGAGTGGCTGGTGGATTTGAACCACCAGTCTTGTGATTAGCAGTTAAGTGCCTTAGGCACTATGCTACCAGAGTGGCATGGTACAAGACAGTAGTAATTAAAACAAATAAATAATGGGTTTAAAATACCTCTCCAAGATTTTTGTACAATTATAACCTTTTTGACCCAAGAATATTTCCCATTACCAGTGTTCTCAAGGCCCCTTTCATATCATTGTTTCTTAGAGTATAGATAATGGGGTTTAGGAGCGGAGTGACTATAGTATAGAAAAGGGAGACAAACTTTCCCTGGTTTTTGGAGGTACTTTTGGCTGGCTGAAGGTACATGAAGATGATGGTCCCATAGAAAATGATGACAACAAACAGGTGGGAGGAACATGTACCAAAGGCCTTCCTGCGTCCTGCAGCTGATTTGATCCTCAACACAGCTTGGGTTATAAAGCCATAGGATATTAGGATGAGTGACACAGGGACAATTAGAAAGACCACACTGGCCACAAAGAGCTCTGCCTCGTTGACAGTAGTGTCCACACAAGCTAGTTTGATCAGCACTGGCACTTCACAGAAAATGTGGTCTAATTTACGGTGACCACAGAGGGGCAGTTGAACAGTAAGGGAGCACTGAATTAAGGAGGTAACAAGGCCACTGAGCCACGCTGTGCTAGCCAGGGATGCACAGAGCTGAGGATGCATAATGGTTGTGTAGTGTAGAGGCTGGCAGACAGCAGCATAGCGGTCATAAGCCATGACGGCCAGGAGAATACATTCAGAGGAACCCAAGCCCATGGCCACATAAAGCTGAGCAACACATCCACCATAGCTCATGGTTTTGTCTTTCTTATTCATTGTAACCAACAACTGTGGGGCAACACTGGTAGCAAAGCAGATATCCACACAAGACAGGTTGCTGAGGAAAAAGTACATTGGAGTATGGAGTTTGGGATCCAGGTAAGACACTAATATGATGGCAGTGTTACCCAGAAGATTCAAGATGTAAGAAAGCAAAATAATGACAAAGAGGATCCTTTCAAGTTGGGGCTGATCTGAAAATCCCAGGAGAAGAAATCCCTTTTGAGAGCTGTTGTTGGTTTCATCCATTGTCTTGTAGCTTTCAGTCCATAAAATGATTAATATTCTGGCGAAAGGAGATGTTGAAGTAGATATTGATAAGTCTTGATAGTTTCCAGTATGTAACACTCTGCTATGTCATAAAGACCTATGGTAATTTCCTTAACATATGTCTTTGGTAGGAGATACCTTTATATTTTCCTTGAATAAGATACCTCTCTAATAGGAACAACTCAGATGTTATATATATATATACATATATATTTTCACAAGACCTTCTTGGTTCCATATATAATTCATCTATGATCTGCCCCTCACTCTTGCTGTAGGAGATGTGTCTATGTAGATTTATTCACTGTCACTTATCAGACTCTGTTTCATCAATTTTGATGTGATGTTCCTAGAAGAGTGTACAACATTTGTTTAAATTGTAGAATGGTGGACAAATTTGAAGGAGAAATTGAGCAAAGAATGTTTTGGGTCAGTGGGAAGGGAGTGTAGTTTCAATATTAAGACTACAATACCCGGAGAGGACTTCAGAGTGATGTGGCAGAGGGAGGCACCACTGAAAGGATTGCTTTGAGGAGAGATGAATAAGACAGTAAATAAGAATCAAATTAACATAAACTTAGGGCCCACTCATTGATGTGGACACTAGCATGAGCTTCACAGAGAGTTAGATGCTTGGATGTGACTTACTGGCATGTTAACTAAATGCTGAGAGAGCCATGCCATCCATCAGCCATTGATCTACAGTTTCTCCTTTACATTTCACGTCCTGCTCTTCATTGATCTCTTTTCCCATTTTTTTTTTTATTTTTTGTATTTTCCCTTTCTCAGTTATAACAGCTTAGCCTACAAGTATTTATCAGTAAGAGGAAAAATTTACCTCAACTCTCTTTTGTAGTTATTTCCACTTGAAATGAAAGAATCACATTTTTGTTTTTGGGAAATCTAAATACTAAAATTTCAGTTTTTAAAATAGTCTTAATGCTGCTTATAGTTACCTAACATTTTATTATTTATTTGAAAATTTACTTTAAAGATATTAATTTCAGCATAGAATATTTGAAAAATAAAATAAATACAAAATTGACATTTACATATAATATTTTTGTCTACATAAGAATATTATTATGTTGTTGGCATACTAGGAAAAACAGCTTAATGGTATTAAAAGATTTACATATAGCCCCAACTTCATATTTTTCATCTGTGTTCCAACTGCAAAATTACATGTGTAACAAATGTTCATACTTATTACTTACAATGCAAATAAAATTTTATATTCATGGTCAAGAAATCATGCTATCATAATTCCTTAACATAAATATTTATTTATTAATAAATATCATAGTGGGAGGGAAGCTGTTGCATTGTGGTAAATTGTAGTCAATGTCATGAGAAAAAGTATATGTGAACTTCTGTATGGAAAGTCAATTTGCTCTGTAAACTTTCACCCAAATCACAATAAAAAAATTAATAATAAATAAATATCACTTTCCACTTTTATATTTTAATGTCTTACTATGTTCACAAAATTAAGTTTATTTTTTATTGGATTACCTTTTTGTCAAATGATTTTAAAAACTATAAGTAGTTATAGATATCCATATCTATAAATGTGTTCAAGGAGCCTGGTTGTGTAATGGATAAGGCATTTGACTGCTAACCAAAAGGACAGTGGTTTGAACCCATCAGCCACTCCATGGAAGAAAGATCAGGCACTCTGCTTCCATAAAGATTTACAGCTTTGGAAACTTAATGGGCGTCACTATGAGTAGGAATCAACTGAATGGAAGTGAGGTTTTTTTTTTTTTCCCTAAATAAATGTGTTTATGCAAGTATAAGTACCTCAGAAGTGAAATAAAATTAAATGAGGAAAGATAAAAAGAAGTAAAAGAAAAATTTCCAATACATAGCCACATCTAGTAAATGAGTGTCAGAGACAAAACATTCACTATTTGTGATCATCGATAGTGAAAATATGGATTCCTTGGGAAGGAATTCCACAGCTTCTGCTCTCCCAAAGAAGAGATAAAATAAGATGCTTTGGTTTTATAAATCCTCAGTAATAAGGATTACATGATCAAATGTTAAAGCTATATTGTTACCTTGTACTGCAACTATAATCCCTTATGATTTATAGTTTTGTTATACATACACACATACATTTATTTAAAGGACACTGTCTTATTTCTATAACTAGATATATAAAGTTACCTGAGGTCAAAAGCTGTGGAATTTAGGACATTCTTTTCTTAAAGCAATGTAGAAACAGAATAGTACAAACTGCCTTTGTGATCAAAGAAATACATCTCCATTTCACATAGGAGAAAAAGAAAAGGAAAATCATTTGGTTCTACAAGCACTTTGTTCATATCCTATGTAATTGTTGTTATTGTTGTTTTTGTGCCATGGAGTCGGACCTGACTCATAGCGACCCTATGTACAGCTGAACGAAACACTGCCCAGTCCTGTGCCAGACCCACAATCTTTGCTATATCTGAGCTCATCATTGTAGCCACTGTGTTAATCCATCTAGTTGAGGGCCTTCCCCTTTTGTGTTGACTCTCCTCTTTACCAAGAATTATATCCTTCTCCAGGGACTAGTTCCTTCTTACAACATGACCAAAGTAGGTGAGACGGAGTTTGGCCATTCTGGCTTCCAAGGAGCATTCCAGCTCACTTCTTCCAAGACAGATTTGTTAATTCCTTTAGCAGGCCATAGTACTTTCAGCATTCTTTGCCAACACCACAACTCAAAAACATCAACTCTTCTTTGGTCTTCCTTATTCATTGTCCAGCTCTCACATCCATTTGCATTGAAAATGCCATGGCTTGTGCCAGGTGCACATTAGTCTTCAAGGAGACATCTTTGCTCTTTAGCACTTGAAAGAGTTCTTTTGCAGTAGATTTGCCCAATGCTATATGATTGTTTTTTGTTTGTTTTCTTTCTTTTCTTTTCTCACTATAAAGCCAAGTCAAACTTAGGACACTGTTTAATTTTTTGGAAGATGGCTATTATCCCTGGTTTAACTTTTGCAAAATAATAAAGAAACTATGGGAATTAAAATGCTTTTGCAAATTAAATAATGGTAGCATTGCACAAAATTGTTTACATTTTGGGGTAGCTGTATATTAAGTATACAACTATACAACTACCCCAAAATGTAAACAATTTTGTATATTAAATGGGAGCTCTGGTGGTTTAGTGCCTAAAGGACTTGACTGTTAACCAGGAGGTTGGCTGCTCCAACCCACCAGCCACTCCTCAGAAGGAAGGTTGGGCAATCTACTTCTGTAATGATACTGCCTCAGAAACCCAAGGAGGGGTCGCTATGAGTCAGAGATGACAGCACATACCAACAACAACAATATACTAAATGTCTCTTTTCTTCATTCTAAGAATAGAGTTTAACCAAGTTCATGATACTTTGACCCTTTGGAATTTTTAGAACAGTATTGAATTAGGGAGGCATTGGTTGCTGTGACATTGCCATGTATAAGGTCACCATAAATTAGAGCCAAATTGGCAGTAACTAACAACAACAAGCAAACATTAATTTCATTTTCGAAATTACTAAACAGAGTGTTCAGGAAGTATCTGAACCAAACATGAGCTTTGTTCATGTCCTCCAACCCTCAACATGATGTTGAGGGAAAATTGAAACATCAAAGGATTAGGAAGAGACCCGGTCATTAGCATAAACAAAAGCTTTAGACTGCATCAAATTGCAACCTCACTTGTAACTAAGTCCAGAAACATTTATGATTTAAAATTTGGATAAGTCAAATCCACACTGTAATTTGATTGCTTATTTGTGTTTACTAATGGATGTAGCATTGGGAAAGTCAACTGCGAAGGAACTGTTTCAAGTGCTGAGGAGCAAGGATATCTCCTTGAGGACTAAGGTGCACCTGACACAAGCCATGATATTTCCAATCGCCTGGTATGCATGTGAGAGCTGGACAATGAATAAGGAAGACCGAAGAAGAGTGGATGCTTTTGAGTTGTGGTGCTGGCGAAGAATGCTGAAAGTACGGTGGACTGCTAAAAGAACTAACAGATCTGTCCTGGAGGAAGTGCAGCCAGAATGCTCCTTGGAAGCAAGAATGTCCAGACTTCATCTCACCTATTTTGGTCATGTTGTAAGAAGGGACCATTCCCTGGAGAGGGATGTCATGCTTGGTAGGGTGGAGGGTCGACGAAAGAGGGGGAGGCCTTCAAGGAGATGGATTGATAATGGTGGCTGCGATGATGGGCTCGAATATAGCAGGGATTATGGGGCTGGCACGGGATCAGGCAGTGTTTCTTTCTGCTGTGCATGGGGTCGCTATGAGTCGGAAACGACTCGACGGCACTTAACAACAACAACAACAATGGATATACAGTACAATCCAATACAGATAATTGACAACTTCAAAGGATGGTATCAAGAGACACATTCTCAATAATTCTTTGATTCCTTGCTCATGATTCCTTGAAACTGAAGTTTTTCTTTAATATAGAGCTTTTGTCTGTGCATAACCATACATTGGTTAAATGTGTTCAAATGTTTTACTACACATAAACATACATATTGTGTATGAGTGTGATGTTTGTGTGTGAGTGTGTATGCATATGGTGTGCATGTGTATATATAGGTATACAGATCTGTAGCTGATCTGTATCTGTAGTGTGACAGACAGTATCTCATTTCTTCTTCCACCATGTCTGAGTCACCAACAGCCTGAACCTCTACTGGATCCCCTAAATGATCATTCCATTCAGCTCATTCTCCAAAGAATCAAACAGAGTGAAGCTTTTCAAGTACAAATAAGGAAGTTCTAGGTGCTGGCACAAACTTTTAGATAGCTTGCAAATCTTAATGTTACCAATTTCAGTCTTCAAAAAATATACTAAGAAACTGAGACAATGAATAATAAAAGAATGCACAAGTGATAGCATTATTGAAACCTGGAAGCAAAGAAAACTACAAATTATATGACAGAGAGAAAAAAAAAAAGGCAAAGAGATTGATCAGAAT